CAGAGTAGAAACGTACATCATAAAAGGCACCTGCCGACGCAGGTCTCGTCGAAGAGACTCACAGGCTCGTATTACTCTGAGCACATCTACTGTGAAAGTCTGTGTGGACTAGAAACTTCCTCAACATAGATTCCCCTGACCACATCCGGAATGGTCGTCGTCGCAGTCGCCGGTGCCACTGGCGGCATCGGCCGTGCTATTGTGGAAGCCATACAACAAGCCGGCACTCACGATGTGATCATATTCAGCCGAAAGGTTCGACCCCCAAAGTTCTCCCCCTGGGGACATTTCCGTTTCATCTAACATTCGCAGGCCAACCCGACCCTTTCCAACGATCTCAACGTGCCCATCATCGAGGTTGACTATGCGGACGTGGAGGCCGCGACAGGGACGTTGGAGAAACACAACGTCCACACGCTGATTTCGGCCTTGACCACCACCCAGTCTCTGAAAGTACGAGACCAGATCCCCGAGATCCAGCTCATCCAAGCCGCGGACGCCGCCAAAGCCACGCGACGATTCGTCCCGAGTGACTGGGGCATCCCCTTGGACGAGGGGTAACACACATCCCATCTTACTCCCCCCCTCCCGGAGAAAACTCAGAGCTAACCAAAGCACGTCCAGGGACCGGGACGTCCTGTTCTACGCAGGCTTCAAGCTCGACAGCAGGAAGGCGCTCGAGGAGACGACGGACCTCGAGCACACGTCCTTCCACAACGGCTTCTTCCTCGACTACTGGTGCATGCCCGCGGTGAAGTCCCACATGACCCCCTGGACGGTCGTGGTCGACATGGCGAGCAACGTCGCGGTCCTGCCCGGCTCCGGAAACGTGAACGTCACCTTCACCCACACGTCCGACGTCGGGCGGTACGTTGCCACCTGGCTCGACGTGCGAGAGTGGGAGCCGCGCACCTTTCTCGTCGGCGAGACGGTGACGTGGAATCAGTTCCTTGCCATTGCAGAGGACGTCAAGGGTATGTGACGTTTGCCGCCGTCCTCTCACAGAGCGAACTGCTTTACTCACGAAGGGTCATCTCATAGGTACAAAGTTCTCTGTAATGTACGAGGGGGACGAGGTGTACCGCAGCGGGAAGGCGACGATCCTGCCGTCGCAGAAGGTTGGGCTGCACTGGTTCTCCGAGGACACCTTGCAGACGATGCTGTCGTCGTACATGCTTTTGTTTGATCAAGGCAGGTTCGATCTCAGCACGAGGTCGTCGAATGCCCAGTTCCCCGAGATCAAGCCGATGAAGGTTAGGGAGGCGTTGGAAAAGGCTTGGGCGAGGCGTTGAACATGACGAGAGGAGCATGTCAGTCGATATTCGAGCATATGTCTCGAGGAACGCCGGAAATCAGTACCCACGCAAGCTTGCACAAGCCTAGCTGCGAGGACTTTTACAGACTGAAACATGTCAATTTGTTACGCCACGTCCAAACTCAACACGACTTCAAAGGGTTTCTGGTATTGCATGACAGCGTGCCGATCATGGCTTGGACAGAAGGGTAAGCCTCTGCATATACTAGATTATCTATATTGGTTGATAATAAAACACAACCTGGTTCGAGAAGCGCTCGACATCGATTCAGATAGTGGTGGGTAGAGACACTGTCAGTCCTACCTCACACAAATTTGGAACCATCTCTCACCAGTACTTTGATATGAGTCAACCACCCCTTCGACCAACCTTTCTGGAATCTCAACCTTGAATCTGCCTCCATTCTTCAATTCCCGACGAATACTCGTCTTCCTCAACAATACACAACGGCGCGATGGCTCAGAGGCAGAGCGTGGCTCCATTAAAGCCAAGGCCCCTGGATCGAAACCGGGTCGTGCGAAAATGCTTCTTTTTTGCACACCTCTTTCGCTCCTCTTCCGTGGCTTGATGTAAATTTCAAACAATTACACAGGGTAACTTCGATGTAGTCAAATTCAAGAGGAAGCTGAAAAGTAGTCTCGCTAATGTGATGTCAACGCCCTTGCAATCTAGCCAATATTGTAGCTGACAATCATCCGCACCCCTATAATCATGTAAACATATGGCTCATCTCATTCCATCACATGCACTCAGTCTCCCACTTGACCCATGTCGTGTTCGTCAATCACCTCGGGGGGTCCGGCACTGGCGGCGGCGGATACCTTGCCAGCGTCTGCGCATTCGACTCGTCCGAGTCCGTGTCCTCCTCAAAATACGGTTCTCGGTACCCGTTAGGGTACAATCTTCTAGGCCCAACTTGATCAGCTGGTATTCTTCGAACAATGGCGGTGGATGCGCCCACATCTTGGTACGTCGGACCCCGTCCCCCGCTCATCTGTATTTCCGGCCTGGACCGCGGCTTGTCTCTGTGCGAGGCGGACCGCCCCGGCGCGCCGCTCCGCTGGACGGTGATGTTCATCCCTTCGGTTCTCCGCCGCGGACGCGGGCGGCCGACCCATTCCGCTTCCGTCTGCGGGTTGTCCGCCGTGTGCCGGTCGAAGGCTCTGCGCTGTTCGACGGGCGACGGGGGCGCAAAGGGGCTGCTCCGCGGCTCCATCGTCTCGGCTCTGTACATTCCGTTAGGCCACATCTGCTGCGAATGCCGTCGGGCGGTCGGGCTCGTTCCGTAGACAGTCGAGGCAGGTCGTTGTGAGAGGGGACTGGGAGCGCCATAGCTGTTATCCAGCTCGCTCAGGGCAACCTCCACGCCGGCCTGGATGGCTCTCTGCATCTGCTCCGGGTCGAGCCGGGAGCTGAAGGAGGATCGTCTGTCGAATTCCAGCCTGGGATCTTGCCGGCCTTGGATCCGGTTCGCGTACTTAGGATCGAGCTGTCTCCTGCCCTCCCACAGCTGGTCCATCTCTTGCTGGTTGAGATCGGGCGGCGGCGCGCCGGCCCTGCCGGCCCAGTACGTCCGGTCATCGACAGATCGCGCAGGTGTCGAGTACATCCGCATCGCATACTCTGACCGCGGCGGCCCAGGTTCAGAATTCAAGTCGTTCTGAAACAGCTCGTTCCGGATCTCCCCGAACCCAAGCTTCATCTTCCTGTCCATCTCCCTGCTGAGGACGGCAATGTCCCTCTCACGCTGCGCAGCTTCCATAGCCTGCCTCTCTCGCGCCTTCTCGCGCTCGAGGAGACTGCTCATGGTCCGCTGGACGTGCTCCATGTCGACTGACTGCGGCTGGATCGGGCGCGGTTTTGGCCGAGAGGGGGTTCTGCCCTCATAGCGAGGTATCGGCTGAGGCTGTGACGGCACCGGGATTCCATAGTACGGACTTTCACGGTCTGTGTACGACCTGGGCGAAGGGTCGAACGGGTTAGACCGGTGATGGCCGGACGACGGGGGCCTCGGGGGTGCGCTGTTGGGATACTGGCCTGGGGGGTAGTTGTACCCGGCCGCTGACGGGTATGAATAATACGGGGGCGATGGGTCGACGGGATTCGGGCTGAAGGGGTTCCCGCCCATGCTTCGGGAGAACTGGGGTAGGTTCTGGGTCTGGACATGCGGCGGCATCGGGCGGGCTCTCGATCCTGGGACCGGGAACGGTGCGGATGCGGGAGCGAAAGGGTTCGGGGGGCGCTCGGTGCTTCTGTGCCGGTGATGGGACCGGCTACTCGGCCGCCTCCGGGGGATCCCTTCGGGGAATTGCGACGGCGACGACGATAAGTCAAATTGCACACTCTTCGGTCCGTGATGCGTGCGCGTGGCCACTCCCGGCTCCGAGTCGCTGTCGTACAAATCAGACTCGTCGGACGTCATCTTATCGGCTGGTTTGTAGCGGCGGTGTTGAGTTGGGTATCAAGGGTACCGGATGGCCGATCCCGGCTCAGGCACAAGCCGAATCTGAAGAGCGCGGGACTAATTCAGCGGAAAATAATCCCAATGGTATTTTCGATGATTACTGAAGGAACCGCTATCGACGCCGACGGGCTGAGGCTAGGAAACCAAATGTCATGATGTCGAGACCGCACGTTGTGGGGTGCGTAAAGGTAAAAAAAAGGTCGTGAACGCCCGACGGTCCCAAGTGAGGAGTGATGGGCGTGTTCTATGAGCTGGCAATGGTCACACACATCCCGCTTCCCCTCCAATTGGTAAAGTGCGGAGGCATGAGCCGTTCATGCAGCTCCGTTCAATCAACGGCCGCCCGCCCTGCCCTCAATCGTGTCCAAGCAGGCTGTAAGGCAACCGGACCTTTCTGCAATCAGCAGCCTGGTGATGTCTTCTTGCTTAAGGGAGAGAGCGTACTTTTGCTGCGACCTGCGGCCTAGATATGCGACCTGCGCGCTCCACCCAAACCGAACCCAACATCGCGAGCCGTTTGGCCTGCTTTGCGAGGCGGTGCGTTAGTGTAGCTGATTGCATGAGTCGCTGCAGTCGAGACCTGGTGCGTCCTTATTGGGTTGCACAAGTGAGGCTGTCGGGCCAATGAAGTCGGGGGACGGTATGCACGCCTGTTGATGACCTTGGTAGCTCCATGCGGAGGGGATACGCCATACAGAGACCCAGTTGCGGGCATGGCACGATCGGTTTGCATGTAAAGTGGACTCTCATCGGGTGTTTGTCGAAGATTGGGGGTTTGTGGTTTCTTGAGGCTCTGTAGGAGTTGACTCTGCAATGGCACTTAGAAGTACTCTCAAGTTGCCCGAAATTCTTCGGAGAGCAACATTCGGCTTCGTCGGTCTTTCAAACTGGGATAGGTTCAGAAGAGTTGTCTAAGAGATGTGAGGAACAGCTCCTAGGAACAATCAGGGACAACACCAAGGAGAACATCAGGAATAGCACTCAAAATACTTCTGCTTCTGTCCACGTCCTTCTAGTCGATTTGAGTTAGCAAGGTTGTTAAATGCTCGTCAAATAGATGAATTATCCCCAACTATCAGGGCTCGTACTATCTATGCTCTCGCTACTCTATGCCCGTACGGACGCATGCAGAATGAAGCCATCACTAGTGCCGGAAATATTAAGAGAACTCTTAGAAATTAGACTACGACCAATTTGAGGATTACGGCGGATGTCGAGTGTCACATGGAAGTGTTCGTTTGCCAGATCTTGACGGTGCTATCGGCCGACCCCGAAACCATATAGCGGCCGTCCGGCGAGTAGTCCACAGAGAGGACTGAATCACCATTACCACTGAGTGTCTGGAGACAGCTCCCAGTACTACTATTCCATATCGTGACGGTTCTGTCATAGGAACCCGAGGCTATGTAGCGGCCGTCTGGTGAGTAGGCAACGGACACAATTTTGTTACCATGACCCCGGAGTGTGCGGACGCAGCTCCCGGTGCTACTGTCCCAGATCTTAACGGTCTTGTCGGCAGATCCTGAGGCTATAAAGCGGCCGTTTGGTGAGTAGGCCACAGACAATACCGAATAACGATGACCTTCGAATGTCTGGACGGTGCTACAAGCGTTACTGTCCCAGACCTTGACGAAATTATGGTCTTCTGACCCTGCGGCTATGCGGCAGCCGTTCGGCGAGTAGGCCATGCGTGTGATTGGACCACAATTGTCTTCAAGTGTCTGGACGTAACGTCCGGTGCTACTGTTCCAAACTCTGATGGTCTGATCAGACGCTGAGGCTATGCGGTGGCCGTCCGGCGAGTAGGCCACAAGTGATAGTGAACCACGATGACCCTTGAGTTTCTGGAGGCAGCTTCCAGTGTTGCTATCCCAAATCTTGATAATCCCGCTATTCGGGTTGCCCGAAACTGCGGCTATGCGCCAGCCGTCCGGCGAAAAGGCCATACAACGGACATTTTTACCGCAGCGCCTAATCGTTCGGAGGAGGCGACCTGTGCTGCTATCCCAGATCTTGATATTTCCATTCAAAGACATTGAGGCTATGCGTCGGCTGTCTGGCGAGAAGAGCGCATAATGGATTCGATCGGTATGGCCTTCGAGTCTGTGTAGGCAACTGTAATTTGTTGCCTCCAAGCCTCTCGTGTTATCTGCCGGATCCGGTTCTGTCGTCAGCGAGGACTTTGCTAGCTTTTCCTTCAGATCCGTGATCTCCAGCTTGTCTTTTTCCATTTGGCTCTTTTGCGTAGTAATGAGCTGCTCCAATTTCGTGAACTTCTCTTCATGTAGCTGTTCCAGGCTGACCTTCATGGTCTCTTGTTGCTGGAGGAGTTTCCCAATTTCGGCTTCCCTCTGCTTCTGCAGCAGCTGAATCTGTTCCTGCGACTCTTTGTCCTGCAGCTCTCGAGCCTCTGCCATATCTTGCTTCAGCTGTTCAATGTCGTGGGCAAAGCGTTCTCGCTCGAGTGTCAAGATACCGTCCAGCTCCTTTCCCGCGCTCGTGTCGTGAAGATCCCTCTTCTCGTCAACCATCTCCTTTTGAATCGCGAGCGTGGTCTGCGTGGTTGTGTTGACAAGGGAGTGGATGATGTTGCGCGCTGATTCATAGTGGTTGTGATGTCGCGCTATCCTCGAGCCTCTATCTATCATCTCACCCCAGTAGCCGGGTTTTGTTCGGAGTTCCTCCTCTCTCTGCTTCCCGATATTGGGTCGAACCTCCTCCCACATCGTCGTAACGAGAATAACGTTCTGCAAGGCGTCTTTCCCGCAGAGCTTCTTGAACATGAAGAGGTTTCTGATAGCTGCCCCTGCATCCGAACGTCGGTAATGCGGTGAAGGTACAAGATGCCGCGGATATGCACCTTCTGCTTATATGATTCGCCGACCCAAGCTGCAATCTGCCTGAGAATCTCGGCATCGTCGCGTTCTGTGTCGTCAAAGCCTGGGGTATCGATGAGGTAGACGTTGGAGCCAACATCGGACCTGCAGGGATAGGCGACAATGTCTTGTGTTTCTGAAGGATCAATTTGTAAGTAGAGGTTTTTCCCAGTTGATTCCAATCAGATTTGGCAAGTGAAATTTCACATATGGTCACTTACCACTGTGAAGGCCCTGTCCAATGGAGACACTCTGGTCGGTGCAGAGGGAGATAAATGTGCTTTTACCAGACCCAGTGATTCCCATGACGGCAATCAAGATGTCGCTGGGTTGCGGCTGGAAGGCGAGTGAATCTGGTTGCCCTGCCATTTTGCCGATGCTGAGTGCTGCGCGTTGGATGGAATCAGAGGCCAGTGAGCAACGAGGTCCATAAGTCGACTCACGACGGAGGAAATCATGTCAACGCAATAGAAAACATCAAGAAAGATGAGCTTTAATAGATAGATAGATGGATATCGAAGGAGGGGAGGCAACGAGCTGGTCTGAGGCATCCGGCTCAAACGGCAGTTGACGAAGCCTGTTTCTGACTCCGTGCATGGAGGAGGATCACCTCACGGGGTTGTCTTTTGCATGCGCCCTGCATTCATCGAAGAGTCACTATGTTCTTGGTAGGCAGCCTTCGCTCTATAGCAGAACGATTGGTAATCAAGATACCACGAGGCGAGGCGAAACCAGTTGTTGGTAGGCAGTGCGTGAGGCAGTTCGAGCAGGCTGCCCCATCAACTTGCGCCTGCAAGCTTCATTGGCACATAACCCCCAAAGGATTATGATCCGCATCAGCGTCTGACACACCCTAAAAGTTGATTAAGTGCCTCGAGGCTTCTTTCTTTCCATCAGGCTGTTTAGTGAAAGTGCAAAAATGTACCACGTGCCAAACAGGCTGTATAATCATCTCGTGAAGATTTAGTACGGCGAGGGCCGGTTACAGGCTTCTGGAGTTGTCTTAAACCTCCAGCCCACTCATCGATAAAATCGCCGTCCAAGGAACGATAGCTCTATCTAACGATGGAAACCATCCGTGCTCAAGATCTTGATGGGTAATCACGACCCAGTCTTTACTTTTCTTATGACAGCAATGAAGACTTTCCTGACAGTCAAGTAGACTTACAAACTCCGACACTGTTATCGCCATTCTAGGCATCACTGGGTCAGGGAAAAGCACCCTCATCTCGACTCTTACAGGCCTTGACGTGAGCCTCGGGAGCAGTCTAGCCTCCCGTATGTTGCGACATCTTTGATGTGTCTTCCAGATGCAAGCCTCACCGTCAAACATGGCCCGAGGCTTAGGTTCAGTTTGACGCAACAATAGCTACTAAAAGACTGACCAATACGGTAGAAACAACTGAAATCAGCATCTACGTCTACGAGCGAGAAAGTGGCCGGCGTGTCTATCTCGTCGACACGCCTGGGTTCGACGATGCTTCCCGCACTGATGTTGATGTGCTCCTAGAACAGGCCTTTCTCTTCACTCAACTTTACAGGATGAAAGCAGCGTTGGCCGGTATATTATATTTGCACCCAATCAACAAGAACAGGGTCAGCGGGTCAGCGGCGAGGAACTTCAGAATGTTGCAGCAGATGTGCGGCTTTGAAGCTGTTGATCGCGTGGTTTTGCTCACAACCATGTGGGACCAAGTCGACCCAGGGACTATCCAGCACGACATTGCTTGCCAGAGGCAACAGGAACTAATCTGGGACTCGAGATTTTGGGGCGAAATGTGTCGCCGAGGCAGTCGTGTCATGCAGTTTGACGGCAGCAAAAGGTCCGCCTCGCAAGCTGTTGACGCCCTCTCAAACAGGCACATCAGGAATGGACCTACTGTGTTCCAAATACAGCGCGAAGTCGTAGATGAAGGGAAGGACATAAGGGTCAGCTCAGCTGCTCGCGAGCTGGTAGGGGAGCTTATCCGCATCCGAGAGCAGTCACAGAATGAGATCGGCCAGCTTCTGGAGCAACACAAACAAGCTGAGAAGGAGAGAGATCATGACAAAGCCTCGAAAATTTCGCAAGAAACGTATGCACTAGAAAAAGGGCTAAAAGATGTTACTGCAGCGAATCACCAGCTCCAGACTTGTTTCAAGGATATCTGCACACAAAAGGAAGCACGTTTTGCAGATATCCTCCGCCACATCAGTCAAGAATATGAAACCTTGACAAAAGAGCTCCGACGTCAGGAATCCAGGCTTCAAAGTCTTGAGGAAGAGCAGCAGGAAAGCATAGCCATCTACGAGTCGGAACGAGAAGGAACGCTCTCACGACCACACGTGCCATCACTGCCACCAGCTTATGATGAATCTTTCGAAAGTTCTTACCGCCAGGACCAGGACAAAATCCAAGAAGAAACAACTGAAATCAAGCGGAGTTTGAAGGTTAAGAAGGCGAAAAGGATGATGATTCAAAACATTATTCCCATGTTGCAAATTCTCGGAGGGGCCGGGTGCGTGGCTGGGGGTGTTGTGTCGATGATGCCGCCTCTGACTGCTGCGGGCGCAACACTCATAGCGACGGGGGCTTCCAGATTGAACTTTAGCATGAGAAGAAAACAAAGCAGACACTCTGAGGAGTGTAGCGATTAGACTTGGTGGGATGCATTGAGCCAAAAACTGGACACATAAGCCGTCGATGCGAAAGAAGAGTGTTTTTGTAGCGCCTGCTAGTTCTGATGGTCGGAGTTCATTGAATTCATCTCCAGTTTCCAGTTAATAGTATCACTGAATATCATTAACGAATAGGGCGTTGCTAATACAGTGGCGCAAGGTATGGTATTAGAACAGATGGATTCGGTCGACGAGAGGCGTGCATTGAACAGTTTTTAAAAAGACCTCAGATTTTACAAGAGTCTAGTGTTCCTCAACTCAGAGAGACGTATGAGCTCCTAAAAGACATTGTCAAAACAAGGAGCCTAAGCATTCGGTTGCTGTGTTTGCTGGTAGCCCCTTGCAAACTCCAAGCAATTTTAAGCATCACTATTCCCTTAAGTCTAATAATTATACTACAGTCTGTTACACTAATAACGTCCACCCCCCCTTTTTACTGAAATTACGTACGTATAATCCCTATATGTATTTAAAAATTAATTTAATATTATATAGATATTTATAGTATAATAATTAACTTATTTTAATAGTTTTAATTAATCTATTTTTATTAAATCTTATAATCTAAATGTATTATAATACTTCTTAAATATTATTATATATTTAGATAAGTAAATAATGACTTATTTAGGTATTATTTATTATTTATTATATATAGTATATAGAAATAATAATATATATAATAATTAGTATAAGATATTATTAGAGATCCTCTTTAATATTTTATTTTATTATTAACTAAGATTATTATGTTTATTAAGAGAACTTATTTAATTATTACTACTAAAGAAGTTATTAAAAAAGTTATTAAAAAGTTATTAAAAAAGTTATTAAGAAGTTATTATTATTAAACTTAATTTTAAAACTAATAATTTAATAGCTTTTAAATTTATATTATAATATATATAGCTTTTTTATTATTATAAAAAGCTTTGGAAATATTTTTTTACTAAAAAGTAATAATGATATAGAAAAAATAGAAAAAAATCTAATGTAAAAGATTCAGTTTTCAAATGTTTTATTTTTATTAATATTATTATTTTAATTAAATTTAAATTTAATTAATTTAACTTTTATTAAACTATTTAATTTATAAATAATATATTTATAGCTTCTCACTATAACATTAATAATATATTTATATTATTCTTTAAAATATTTGAAAAAGAAGAAAATATAAATAATAATAAATTAATTTTATTATAAATCTAAGTTATTTATAACTTAGTATTTAAAAAATAATAGTTTATTTGTTTTAATCTAATTATTAAAAACATTATATATAATAAATTCAGCTTTATTAATATATTAGATATAAATAAGAGAAATTAAAAAATAAATAGTAATACTTAATTTTAAATAGAAGTAGTTTATTTATATATTTTAAAGAAAATTAATATTATTATTATTATTTAGAAAAAAGGTAATTAATATATCTAAATTAACATTAATTTTTATTTAGGGATATCTATTTATTAAAAAAGTTATTTAGCTAAATATGTTATAAATTAATATTATTTTCTTTTTTAAATAAACTAAAAATAAAAATAAAATCTATTTTACTATTAAATAGTAATATAATATTATATTAACTTCTAGTTAAATAGTAATTAGTATATAAATACTTTAAAAAGTAATTAAATAGATATTTTAGCTAATGTATAAAGTAATCAATTATAAACTTAATAATCTTACAAATATTAAGTATTAAAAAAAGATATATATAAATAATTTCTATATATATATGTATCTATTTAAAGTATTATAAATATGAAAATAGTTTAAGTAATAAGAAGTTTAATTAATATTATATACTAAATTAGAAATATTATAAAATTAAATTTTATTATGTAGAGAAATAAATAAAAGCTATTCTAAATAAGTAAATTAATATTAATAATATAGAACTATTTATAAAACTATTTAATAAGATATTTTATAACTAATTTATTAAGGATTAGAAATATTAAAATAGAAAAAACAGAAATATTATTAAGATTAATAGTAATTAGAAGATGATAATAATAATAAAAAAAATTAAAAATATTATATTTTTATTATTAAAATTAAGATTTAGTTTAATTAATATTAATAGTAATATTATTATTAATATATATAGTAATAAAAAAATAAAAAAAAATAAAAATTATTATTTTTAGTATTTTTAGTATTTTTATTTATATATATAGCTATTATTATTAATATTACTATTATTAGTATATTAGCTATACATAAACGTTTTATAATATTTATTACGCACTTTTTTATTATTAAACTTTTTAAATATTTATTCATTAAATATTATATTTTTAATTTATTTATTCTTGTTAATAATATTAAATTTATTTTAAAAAGTTATAGATTAAATAACTAAGTTTATTAAATAGTTTATATTTACTTATAATAGATAATATGATATTAATTAAAGTTTAAATAGAAACTATAAAAATTATAATTAATAGATAATAGCTTATAAGTAATTTATAAATTACTAAATAAAGTTTTATTTAAGATCTTACTAAAAATATTAAAAACTTAATTAAATCTTTTATAAATAATAATATTTATTATAGAAAATAGTTTAATACTCTCTCTAATATAATTTCTTATTTTAAACTTTAGTTATATTATTAAGAATTAGAAAGAGATAACGTGGTTCATCAGTCAGCCGGCCGGACCAGTCAGCCGGACGTTTTTTCCCACGTACACAACAACATCTAGTATTTCTCAACCACAACGCATTAAATCAACTATTAGTTGTCGCTATCAGAATCTCCTGAGGGTTCGACATCTTTGGAACAGGTTCGCACGTTATGCCCAGTCTCACCACACATACCACAGCGTCTCCAAGCTGGCTGGGCTCTCTTTGATAGACCCCCCTCGTCGTCCTCTTGAGGTGCTGGACGTTTCCCTTTTTGTTTCCCTTCAAGCAAAACCTGAGATTCCTCTATACTAAGTGCCCCTCTAAGCTGGACCCACGTTCTTTTAGCCCTCCAGCGCTTAGCAAGTGCTATATTTGCATCCTCAAGGGTATAAAGCCGATCAGTCAAAATAGTGATTAAGTGCGCTATTGCCTGCGCACCCTTTGATAATTGCTCAACTGTAGCAATAATTAGTGTTAGTGAGCTTCCTTGATAAGCAGAGATATAACTTTTAATAAAGTTAGACTGCGAGACGGTTTGTTATGAGTTAGAGGGCGTTTGTAACTGCTAAGGTGGAGGTGTTGAAGGGTTAGCTATAGGAGGTGTAGGCGTCTGTAAATATATATCAAGCTTTTTATTATTTTGTCTGGGTCTTATGGTGAAATTCCAGCGCCTTAGAAAGCAGACCTGATATTTTCCTTATTAAAAACCTTGTCATGGGCCTAGTGGAAGGCAACAAAGAACTCAGACTTAGTGATATGATTTATAGAGGCTCTGATGAATTAGTTGATTTCATCACTATATATGTATTTCAAAGGCGAATAAAGGGTAATATCTAATAGCTGTAGTAGATATAATAAATATGCAGGCATACTAACAGTTATAATATTGTTCTGCTTATAGTAATCGTTAAACTCAGCTGATAAATAGCTCTTATAGCTGTTGATAATAAGCATCTGGTAGACACCTTTTGTTTGGTTCTTAGTGTGTTTATTAAAGTGTTTAATCTAGTTAAGACCTATATGATTATCCGTCTATCTATTAGCAGTAGGTTTGATCACCTAGTTGCCTAGAAAACCTGATTCTATAGTCTAACTGGCAAGGTGATATACGCCCTTAACGATCATAAACAGAGGGATGCACCACCCGCCCGAATTAATATATTTAATAACTGTAGCCTATTTATAATTGCTAGGCTGGACAGACTTTGCTTTGCTGCGTCAATCAGTATGTGTAACCACTATTAACGCAGTGATCATGCCTATCATAAAGCCAGTTTCATCAAAATTATATAGGTCCCCCTCTTAGATGCCATACTTAGCTATCATGTTGCGTAATAGCGCAAACCACTTTAATATAACCTCAGGATCTTCTTAAAGAGCCCTTTAATAATCATATAGACGATTAAACTTAGTTTTCAGAGCAGGCTGTAAGTCCACAAACCGCCTAGCCTATCGCTTACCAACAGGCTTGCTATTACAGGCTCGCAGCAGGAGATTAGCCATATCTTCCACACTGCTGAGGCGGAAAGGAAATCCTCTGGAATCCTGTTTAATAACGTATTGGAGAAGTATTTTCTCTTCGATCGGATTGAGTTTATGTCGTTAGGGTTAAGCTTGTTCGCGTCGCGGTCGGTTGTTCATTCTATCGGCTAAGGTGCTCTTTAGGATACCGTAGGTCTTTGCAGCATGCGAAATGCTTAAGTTATTACCTGCAGCGCGTGTCGATCAGATCGCTTCAATCGCGAGAATGACTTTGTCTTCTTAGGTGTAGATTGGCATTATGGTTGTTGAGATTTTACGCGTCAAAGGTTTAAGTGATTTGGACGTAAGAGTGTTTAGAAAAAAACGTCCGGCTGACTGATGAACCATGTTATATATTAATTAGTAATAAATAATTAATAATTAAATATAATCTGTATCGTAATAAATTTTGAATCATAAATAAATTAAGCTATTAAAAAAGTTATTATTCTTATTAATTACTAGAGCTATTTATTCTAAAGAATTTATATTAAATTGTAATATATCTTTATATTATTTAAAGCTTTATAAACTATTTATTAAATAGATATTTAAAATTATATAATAGGTTTTATCCTTATTTTTTTAATAAATACTATTTTGATCTCTTATAAAAATAAAATAGATTTTTAATTAGTTAATTAATATAAAAATAAAGTAACTAATTAAATTAGTAATATCTCTATAGACAAATTAGTTATTGTAGAGGTAACATTAAATATATATTTTATATCTCTATTATATAGGTAGTTATATATTTAAATATTATTATGACTATAGTAATTGATAGTAATTAAAGTATTAGCGATAGATTTAGTGCGTTTTATATATAATATAGAAAAATGCGCGTTATAGCGTAAAATTAGCTTTTTTCATGTTTTTATATAAGCGGGGAAAAAAAGGGGGGGGCGGACGCTGTCAGTGCAACAGACTGGTATCAGACTCTCAGGTGGCCCTAACCGATTCGCTCTAACACCCCCAAAATCAACCACAACCTTTTGTATCACAACCCCAGGCTCAAGCAGCCAAACTCCTAACTCATGTCTTCCGGCCTTCAGACTTCCTCTGGTCACATCAGTCGTCACATTCCATCCTCCAGTAATGACCGAATCAGCCCATTCTTCTGGATCCTCTCCGAGTCCCGCGTCACCAACCGATTGTACAACTATAGCCTCCCTGTCATCGACAGCAAAAGCATACCACAGCGGCCGCGTCATGTCGTGGCTCCTCGAGCCGCCAAGATACACTCGTACCTTGACGTCTTGATATTCGGTAAATGTAAAGAAGTCGTATCGCAGCTTCGGCGCTGTGGATTGAGTCAACGACTCGACACCTACGGGCCAAAGTTTGACTCCCGAGTGTGTCTTGCCGTAGAATGGGACTTCGACGTACGAAACCCCGTTATTCGTTTCGAGGGCAGAGAAATGCGCTGCTTCGATGGATACCACGCCGCCAGACTCAGTCGAGCGTCCGACCAGGTCCTCCTTGACAACTGGAGGATTGAAGATGGGAAGTAAAGCCGTGACCGCATCCTCTGTGTCATTCCTCTGAACGGTTAGTGCAGCGGTGCTACGCCCTTTGGGGGCAGAAGACCAATCCACCTCGATGTTCACCCGCGCCTCATCCATATCCCCAGAAGCCTCAAGCGTCCCCTCATCCTTGTCCATCCCGACCCACGACACGTTCGACTCAATCCGCCACTCAAATGTCCCATTCGCACGGCAAAATACGTCAATCCACCGACTCTGCCCGGGCGGCAAGTACGGATCCATCTCTAACAAGATTATCTCCCTCTCATCCACATCACCCACCGCACCCTGCCCAGCAACTCCCATGATCCCGGACGCTGGCACATCCGCATCACTGACATACTCCAGGTTCGGCATCACGTCGCTGCTCGGTTCATACCACAGTGTATACCCGATATGCACCTGACACATGATCCCCTTCCACTTGCCCCCATTGATCCCGTTGTACTCTGCCGAGATTTCTTTATCCCGGGCAAAGGCCGCCCTCGCCTCCGTAGCAAGGCGATTCGTTGCCGTCCGCCGCTGCGTTTTATACAGCTTTCCCATCTCGGCCTTGGTATACAACTCGTTGACCGTCCTCCCAGCCTCTACGGGGTGTAAAACCATTCGGTAAAACGCGTCTCTCCATGTTTCACCGAGTCCCTCGTAGACCCTCAAGGTATCTTCTAATAGAGTCTCCCACTCCTCAAGAGCCGTGGCAGCCTCGTCGTAAAAGAGCGTGCTGTACACGAACGGCGGCATGTTGAGCGTCTCGTACTTTCGTCGGCTGACCAGCCGGCCGTATCGGTTCAAGATGTCCGCAACGGCTGACGCGATGTCTGGGGAGAACGTCCTTGATGTCCACGTTTCGAGCCAGGCTGTCGTGCTCGTCGGCGTGAGGTGTAGAGACATGTCGTAGGCCATGTCGAGGAAATGGGTCATGGGTATCTCCTGATGCAAACGTTCAGCATAGTTGCCATGTGAGTGGACAGGGGGAAATGATGAAAACCGAACAATTTAAGGAGAGGAAGCTGGGAGGAATTCAGCTTACCAGAGGCTTGATGTCTCCCACATTCACAATCCAAACCTCCCTAGCCCCTTTCTCATAGGCGAGGTGCATCTGCTCCCACGTCTTGACCAACTGGATGGTGTCGATCCACTCATAAATCTTGGGGCGGCCAACATAGTTTACGTGGTAATATACTCCAGCACCTCCCGTGCGCGATGTCTCGTTGGGGTACGGCGTGCGCAGGAGATTGCCAAAGTTATCGTCAGTCCAGAGCAGCGTCACGTCCTCAGGAACCTGGAGACCCTGCTGGTAGTATTTCCCGACTTCCTGTTTCTCGTGCTTAGCGAAACCGCTCTCGTATCCATGAAATTTCATCGTGAGACTCACCTTGTATAATGCCCAAACTTTGGGTAAACTACTTGCACGACTCCCGTGAGTAGCGTTCAGAATCTCCTGCTGCACCGCAATGATCTCCTAGAGCTGTGGCGCAGTAAGCGTAGGCGACTCTGTGTCACCCTCTCCCCTCATGCCCATCGTGTAAACGGTCTTCCAGCCCTTACTTCTTTCCGCACCCGCCTTCATGAAAGCCGTTAAATTCTCTTTGTTCAGGCTCCAATCCTACTTCCCATCGAGGTCCCGTTCCTGCTCGCGGTACGCCCTCGCCATGAGTTCGTGATGGCTTGTCCCCATCACCACGCCAAAGTCGTCTGCGAGCGCCCCGTTTGCAACGTCGTCGACATAGAACATGCTGTTCTTCATAGCGGGCCAGAGGTAGTTTCCCTTGAGTCTGAGGTTGAGCTCGAAGACGTGAGCATAGAAAGAAGAGGTAAAGGGACGGTTGCGGTCGGATGAGGCGAGAGGAAAGCGGGTACGGGCCCAGGAGGTGAGGCAGGTTTCTTCGTCGTTGATAAAGATGCCTCTGTACTTCACGGAGGGGGGTCCGTGTGTGTAGCTTGTCCCGTTGGGGGCTAGATGAAGGGATGGCAAGGGTGTGACGGGAACGTCGGCCCAAAAGTACCATGGAGAGACGCCTATCTGTTCGGAGAGGGCGTAGATGCCGTAGACAGTGCCACGCTTGTCGCTGCCAACTACTGATAAGGCTGAAGAAATACCCGGAAAGGGGTTCATAGTCACTTCGTGGGTGTAAGATTCCCATTTCCCCTGAATGGAGGAGTTTTGGGGCCTGAGGAGAGGCGAGTAGCCTAGTGTTCCGATGACCAGGACGGGAAATGTTGTGGATGTGTTTAATGTGTTGTAGACGATGGTGCTATTCTTTCCGAGGACACGGCCGAAGTCGATGGAGAGTGACGTTGCAGCACGTTTGACGGCTGCGGTCTCGTTGGAGGAGAGAAGGATCACCGGAGCGTGTAAGGTGGTGGCCAAGAGGATGGAGTTGGGAACGGGTTCGAGGTTGATGATTTGGGCGGCGCTCGAGACCAGGAGAAGAAAAAGCATTTGAATACAGACAAGGAGACTCATTGTTTCAACGTTGAAGCGGCATGTGCGAGAGAGATGTGTAGCCTGGGCTGAAGTATCGCGTTCCTGACATCGTCTCGGGGGCCACCAATGTTAATGTAATTGATATCTATAGACCACGAACAATCCTACACACTGTTCCGCGCAGTGATCAACTTCTCAATGTACAGTTTGTCATCGCTAAAGGCTGCTGTTGTCCCAAAATGATATCGCCCTTCCCCGCACTTCGTCCTCTTTTACGACGAGACGGCGATGACGGACCAGCGGACGTTGCGTTGCCAAGTGATCATTCTGATGATTGAGCCACAATTTTCATCTTTAAGGCTATAATGAATCGAGCGTCGTCAGTCTTGAAGCGTTATTGATCAGCTTACAAATACCGTAGGTAAAGAACCTCGTCGTGTCGAAGGTATGAGCATCTCTGGGTTCAAATGAGACGGAGCCGAATCCATGACAGATCAAGTTCGTGATAGAACCTTCCAATATACTCATCTACGACCTCTTTTCCCTCGAACATGAGAGCGCCCACACGTGTTGCCGTCGCGCCGCAAACCCACTCAACCACGATCAAATATGCTTGCGGCGCGAGCATTGGCCGAGGACTATACGTCCCAACAAGAAGGCACCCCCAAACGCCACTTTTGAGACGCTCGAGAAACTCCACAGGCGTTTTCGTAGGCGTCTTCATGTCCTTCAAAAGGCGTTGGTTTCCGATTGTAATTTCAGACCAATGACTAGGAGTCCGACCATTGCAGAATAGTGAGGGAGGAACGGACTGCGCTTCGAATCGAAGTGCGATGGGCGACCCTATTGCATCACTTAGTCCATGTTCAAAGTTCGTTCTGAACAAGGTAGATAATCCCGACACAAATTCGAGCTCGACCGCGCGCAGTATCGGGTTCAATGGTTTCAGCGAGCTGAGAAATGGATAGCACATCCACCGAATGGCGCCTGCCCAGCCTGCCCAGGTCCACGATGGGAACCCCCGCCTTCGACGTATAACTGTGCCGCTCTTGTGGTACCAACTTAGTGCAATGAATATTTGTGTGTCGATCAGCACGTCTCGTGCTGGGATTGAAACGTAGGGCAACCCCGAGATGGCAAGAACCGATGGCTTTCTCTTGGCCAAGATCTTCAACATCCCGGCAGCAGCATTCAGCGAGTCAGAGTCGTAGGTCAAGCTCCGCGTCGTGTACTGCTGAATCAGTCGGAAGAAGTCGACGAGACGGCGTGCAATCCTAGAGTCCCCGGCGGGGTTCTCCAAGAGCTCGTTTCCTCTGTGCCTCGTTGTCTCTGTCGGGGCCTGGGTTTCCGGCTGGCCCATGAAGTGACTCAAGAGGAAAGTCCCGTTCTTCCACTTTGTCCAATTGAGCGATTGCCGATCTTTGACTAACTCGATCCCTCCCAAGCTCTCTATCCAGCTCGCGGTGTTGCATTCGAAGAATGCCTGTGTTTCGGTGAAGATGATTCTCCGTCGGGAGAGTAATCCTTCTTGGAACGTCCATCCTCGCTTCCACCAACGGGATTCCTCCTCGACGTACACAGCCGGGTGAGGCCCCATGTTGATAACTGCGGCACCGACTACATGAACGATGTCTTGTTTGAGACGTTTGGTGGAACCCACGCCTGGTAGGCCATACGTTTCATCTGGGCCGGCAGCTGCCACAATGGTGGCCTCGGCGTTGCTGTAAATTAGGTCCATTTTGTTGATCTGGTCGCTCAGCTCTGCCGCGTTGCCCTGATCTATGCAATATTTATCAACCCATAGATATTGGTACCCAAGAAGCCTTGTGAGAGCCATGGCATCCTTGACTGAAGCCGACAGTTCTGATGGCAATCGACATTTGACTTGGGCAGAAGAGCTCGAGGGTTGGGGACTCCATACATAGCTCAATGCTATCCATTGCATACCATGCTGTGCAGGTTCGATTTGGAGTGTATTGCAGTTGATGAGTTTCATCCCTGGAATAGCAGCTGAAGCCACAGGCGTATTGCACGACGGTCCATGATCCTCTTTACAATTGTCGATCCACAGACGGGCCCTGCCATGGTCGAAAAGCGCTGGGATTTCCTGAGGTTTCAAAGGACCGGGCTGGCCGTCTGTAAGAACCACGTAAGACTTTCCATCATAGCCGTAGTTGTCGAAAAAGGTTTCATCAAAAATGACCATGTTCTTGACAGTAACTACAACCATCAGGCTGTCTTGTGCGCCCGGCAGAGTGTGCCTGACACCGATGCCGTTCTGCAGGTACGAGAACGCACGAAGCTCGAAGTCTTGGGCCTCAGACTCGGATATGGAACTCGAAAGAGCGGCTTTTGAGAGAAGATTGCAGAGGTCACAAGTTGTCTCATCCCCGGAGACGAACCTCCCGGCGTCGTCATCGAGAATGATTCCCTGGGAGTCCATCTTTCCCTGCTCCAGCGCCCGCAGCGCATTCACAAAGTCGATCCGGAGACATCTCTCGCAGATCTGTTGATTATTTGATGAAATATTGTTCATGGCCAACAATTCTTCAGAGCCGACAAGAGGCTTGCAGAGCTGTGACCCGGCAAACGCTCGGAGAAGAGATAGCGAATCCTAGGAAACGCGTTAGTGGTAGTGACATTTGAAGGATGTTGTTGTTTAAACGGGAGAGCACGCAAGAGACTGAATGACTGAGTGGGTAGGTTCCTGTTATATGTCACAATTTCAGACAGTCAACATAAGAAGATGATTCATAAAGGAAACGCATTGCTGCCTAACTGCGGGGGTGCTAATCGGCTCACTTCAGGACGGCCAAATGGTAAGACTATCTGGGTGTCTTTTCCATTTCCCCCCTGAACTTTGGGTCTTGGACCTGTTGGAATGGCAAGTCTTTTACGTCTTTCTGTTCTCCAAACTAGTCGGAGTGTACTCCTTGTCGCCAGCAGCCTTTGAGCGGCGACCACCGCAATTCAACAACCCACAACCATCTTTCATTGCTTACTCAAAGGGAATAGTACTACAATTACAACAATCTAAAACGACTGAAGCGATGCCTAGAATGTCTTGCGTTGTTCTTAAGTCGTAATTTGGAACAAACACTTCAAACGCGAAAGACCGGTTGTTCGGGACGAGTATAAGTTGCGTTGATTCCTTCGCCTTGGGGGTTAAGCCTCTTGCACCCGACATAACAGAAGTGCTTCCACCATAGGCAGAGTTACAAGGACGAAGAATTTCCATTCTCTACTATGTTCTTAAGTATATCGTGAGTGAATTCCCCTCGTCATCAATATGCCGATGGCGGCCCACTTTAGCCGAGTATGACCTTCCAAGTAGCCGGAGATGTGGGGCCGATGCAACCCCGAGCCTCGGTGTCGACCAATATCCGTATCTCATATCCCCAAACCCATCATTGTCACCCAAGACCACATCTACCTCTTTCATAATATCAGTGGTGCAGATGATGCGGCCCAAAGATTCGATCGCTATGTCTCGGCTGTCGCCGTTGGAGGATATGCTGAAGCTGGCGGAAACTGAACCGGTGAGTGCCTGTCTAGTTCATCGTTCGCATTGACGGCCCTTGGGACGTCGCTTTAACATCAACTGTCTCAGGACGTCTTCACTACCACTGCAGATCATTGGCGTCCACCAGGAGGAAGAGGGATATATGGTGGGTAAGGCCAGCGACGACAACATTTCTCACCGCCCACAATCACCTACCAATTGCTAACGCATCACCTAGGTCCATTGTCGCACAAAGTCTAGTCGCGGCTCAGAAGACCGTACGCGATGGGTTTCTATGCCATTCGATGCATTGTCAGTTCTTGATTGTGGGGAACGAGACAATTCCAGCCACCTTCGCCATTCAGAGGACCCGAGATGGAGGCTCCTTCGTCACCCGTACGGTCCAAGGCACCCAAGAAGGGAAGTGTATATTCACGAGCACCTTGTCATTCATGCGGGCGATCCCTTCTGAGAAGCAGCGTGTTCAACATGTTCCCACCCTGCCATCATCGAGGGGATCGCCGCCTGACGAGTCCATAATCAGCACTGCCACAGCTGTAGCACCGCAGCTGTTTCCCATATCGATAGAAAAGAGCAATGGTCAGCCGGAAGACACAAAGCTTCAGACGTGGATCCGGGCGCCGAGGGAAATTGCCCAGGGAGATGACGTTGAGGTTCAGCAGGTAATCTTGGCCTATCTATCAGATTGGGTCTCAATTTCGATCACGCCCTACGTGCTTGGGTTATTCGACTTTCCCGGGGGTTTCTCGAAAGGTGTCGAAACGTCATCTTTGGAAGGGAGTTCTGTCGGGATGCTCTCCTCTCTTGGTCATACCATCTACTTCCATGCGCCCGCCCGCATCAGAGCTGATGAATGGATTTTGCTTGTTGGCCATAGCCCATGGTCGGGAGACGAGAGATGTCTAGCTTCCGCAAGGATGTTCGCGAAAGATGGTACCTTACTAGCGACCTACGTTCAAGAGGTATGTGCCAAAAATATATTACGAAAACCAACTAATGATCGGCAGGGAGTTATCAGATTGAACGGCGAGCTCAATGGCCCGGGTGTGAAGCTGTAGGCAATTTTCAATTATACCGCAAATTCAATTTGTAACTAGAAGAGCCTCCTTTTTAGGGCAGTCCTGGGAGATTCTGTGGTTGTAGCAGTACTGAATGCCCCTTTCCTCCTTTCCATGGAGCATACCACTTGCGATTTCCCGTGCTAGTTCGTCTGTTCCGGCCAAAGAAACCAGAAAGACCGAGTAAATGATACTCAACTGATTGAGTTTTGGATACTGCTGTCCAAGATAGGCCGTTTCCTTCTCAACGATTGCGATCATTTTATTGAGTAGTGAGTAAATTGCTCTCCATGAACTTTCGAACAACAAAGTGGACAGTAAGTCAATGCCAAAGTCTTTGCAAGCCCTCCAGAGCCATTTGCGCTCCTACTCAATTTCAAGACACGCCCACAGCACCTCCAGCAGCTGCACCTGAAATCAGTCCTCCACCCGAAACCACCAGAGCCGGGTTTGCGGTG